ATGCTTCCATGTTGATCGCAGCGGTCTTGCATTTCCAGCCGCGCCAGACAGTCTTTGTGGTGCTATACGCCACAAACTTTGCCTGCATGCCTAAAGCATATCAGGCCGGAAGGGAATGCCACTAAACGGGGCCCGAGCATACAGCCTGCACTCCTGACCGGCATCAGGGCAGGGCCGCATACGTCAAAGGCCGCAGATGCAAGCAAAAATCTAATGGCATCCTCCCTTCACGTTTCCTTCCTGCCTAAAAGCCGTCAAGGTTTCAGTCTACGCAGCAAGAAATGCGCCAATTTGCGTTGCTCGGCAGTGAGTTGCAAATGGCTTACTGTCGCCACTGCGTCCTGCAAATAGATGCGCGCCGTATGGGCAGTGCTCCAGCGTCCGCGAAGCAAGGTGCGCTCCATGCTTTGGTGATGCAGGAAATCCCACGTGGCGCCGCCACGCCGCAGGCTGTAGACTGTCAAGAGGCCTTCTGCGTTGAAGAACCCTGTCATGGCATGAAAGAGCTTTCGAAAGAACGCCGGGCCCTTGCTGAGCAGGCGCTCTTCCTTGCTTCTGCCGCTGCACGCTTGCTTCAGCCACTTGAACGCCAGCCGGCTTTCCACCACCACCATTTCAGAGTGCCCAGCGCGTTTGCCCGCCTTGCTTTGATTCAAGTTCAGGACAGCACGATTGCGCATAAACTTAACATCTTTCACCTTCAAAGTATAGAGCTCGCCTGAACGGAGCATGCAGTCAAAGGCCACAGGAGCCCCGCCGCCTCATTGATAAAACCCAGTGTAACTGCAGCTCCTGCAAAGCCCAAGACAAGCAAAGGGCTAACTGGCAACACCCGCATAGGAGGTTCTAGCCGTTGCCAAGCTTTTGCAAGTTTCCAGTTTTCCGACTGACGACGGCAAGTAGAATTGGAGGCCTGCTAAACCATCACTTGCAAGGGATTTGTACTCACCTTCCGAGTACGCGTGCTCTAACCATGCGCCAACAGCGGTATCCAAATCTTCCCAGGCCGGCACCTGGATCTGACACTCAACTAGGACTAGGAAGGTTAATAAGCTGAGGACTGCCTTTCTATATCGGGCCTGCATCCCGGCCGTCACCATTTGCTCTTTCAGAGTCGCGCCAGCTCTGGCACGGCGGCGCTTGAGTCTTTCCCCGTCAGAGAGCGTTGTCCGCCCCATCTTGACGGGATGTCGCTAGGGTTGCAGTCGGTTGCAACGTATCCTACGACAAGAACAAGGCCTGACGCCAGTAGCAAAGCATTAAGTTGAGCTAACCCTCTTCTGAGCCGAAAACTGCTAGTGCGACCTTTGGTAACAATGGCGCACACAACCTGACTGTCAATAAGATGCAGGACTCGCTGGGGTGCAGAATGTTGTTTGCGAAGCCGCCACTTCACCGAGTTAAGGACAGCTTGAAGTTCAAGTGCGTTTATGTGAGCCGCAGTTTTCCAGGGGTAGCCGTGAACAACACTCCAGTGAAACATAAGAGTTGATTCCAGAACGGGGCCAAGCCTGCATGCGAAACGGGACGCCAACATCCAGTCGAATGTCTGTTCCTCCCTTCTCGGCCTGGCGTATGAAGTGTAGGACCAGCTGCGCTGTGTCGGGAGTCTCCAAACCGCGAGGGACGAAGCGCGGGTACAATAGCCAGCCGGCACTGGCAACTTGCCGGGCGGCTACCAGCCTCTCCAAGTTTCGAACAGCCCAAATTGCACGAGCAGGCTATGCAGCAAAATGGTAATGACGCAAACATGAGACGACCTCCCCACCAAGGTCCCCACCAGGTTAAGAACCTCGCTCGGGCTGCATTTGGGGCTAATGGCCTGTGTAATGTACCCGCGATCAAATCCCATCAAAGCTTCACGCTTGCTGGCCGACGGAAGGCGCAGCGCCTGGTCAGGACCTGCGACCATGTTCTTGGCCTCATAAGTGCTAACTGGAAATCGGAAATGGTCTTCTGTCCAGCGGCGAATGGCCTCTTGGCTTGCCAAGTCCAGATCCGGCATAACCCTGGGGTTAGGCTGTTTGCGGTAGTGGGGGCAAGTGAGGGCAGCCAGCCGTTACTTTCTCCGTTCCACACGGAATTAACATCCAGCCATGAAGAAGCGTCTTCTCTGCAAAGAGGAACCCGCAGCTCCTTGTAATCCCCCCAGTTCTCCATGTGTTCGCCCTGCAGCGGAAACACCTCCCATGAGCACCAGAAGAGGCGTGGCCGGTGGCACCAAGAAACCCCTTTTTGCGTCCAAAAGAACAGGCGTGCTGCAAAGCACACGGCTGAAAAGGTTTCTATGTTCCGCTGACATGTCGAAGCTGCCTTCGACAAAGTAATGGACAGGCACGCTGAAAATGTCCCGCAAAAGGTCAAGCACCCGAGACAACTCGAAGAATCGACGGGGTGCCTCCCCTTGAAGGCTTTCGCGGCTAGGGCTGCCTGCCTCCACGTTGCTGATGTCTCCTAGCTCGATCAGGCCAGGCCACCGGCGGCGCAGTAGGCGTTTGGCGGCTTTGTCCGCCTCGGCGCTGGCAAATCCAACAACCTGACACGGCCACCGGGTGAGTGCGCACACAGCTGCCCCGAGACCATCAAACAGACAAATTGCAAGAATCCGAAGACCGTTTCCAGCGTTGTAAGTAAGAGCACCAGCGGGTCTGAACGCCGGCACGTCCCCTGCTTCCACGTTGGCGAGCATGGCCTTGCCTTCCTGCGTAAGCCCCGCGCTTGCGCAAAGCCCTGCCCCGTGGAGCGAGGCATCCGAACAGGTCACCATGCCACTGGGCTCTGTCCTGAGGGAGCCAACCGCCAAGGGCAAACATCCTAGCGCCCGGATCAATTCCCGAATGGCAGCAGCTTTCAGCGAGCGCCTGAGAATCCAGTTTTGTCGGGGCCACACATCGTTCAGTAACCCCATCAATGGCCTGCGGAACTCAAAGCACCTCACAAATCTGCCAAGCACCAGAAGAAGAGATTTTCGGCCTACAGCTGGCTGCGACAGGAGCCACACACACATCCAGCCGCATTCTAGGAATTTCTGCAGGAACAGAAACGAAGCCTTTATCACCATCTATGTGGGCCCCCATTCGGTTCACTGCAAGCTCTCGGACGTGGGCTCTATCCTGTGAAATCCCCACGCCTTTGCGGGCATAGGCTTCTCGCTGTCGACGATGAGTGGCTGATAAAATGCCCCGCAAGCGCTGCCAATCCGTGCGGTCCACAAATTCCGGAGCATCGAAGTCGTCCAAATAGTACTGGATCCAGCCACCTCCTTCTGCAACAGCACTCCCGGGCACAGGACGATCACGCCGCCATCAGTCAGGTGGCAAGCCGGCACCGGCCGGCACCGGCGAGAGGCCTAGCTGCCTGGAACAAACTCACGGCATTCTTCCATCCCATCGGGATGACTGCTGAAGCGAGGAAAACTTCTCTTTGATCGGGGCAACCAACTAGCGAAATGCCATGAAGGGGCGCCAGTCGGCAGGAAGTGCCCACGCGTAGTACGCCCCGCGTTGATCGTCCCCAGACCACAGCAGCACCTGTGAGGGCCGAAGGTAAGCTGCTGTCCACTGCGAAGAAGCACTCAAAGTTGGCAGATCACCTACCATGAGACGCTGGATGGAATTTGATGGGACACAATTCATGATGAGGCGTGTGATTCTGTGCTCACCGGGCGCCGCCACGCCTTTCTTCTCAACAGTGAAAACACCATTAAGCAGAGGCTCCCCTCGCACTCGGAAGATAGATTCCCGGTCAATGGGCGCCAGAATCTAGACCCTAGCCACCTTGCACCATTCCTCCCTGGTGCAATTCATGGACACTGTCGGCAAAGGGTCAGGCCACTGCTCTTCAGGAAGTATGCATTGAGAAGGTTCCAGCAACCACGATCTCACCTCCCCCCTGGCAACCGACGCTGCCTCGAGAGAACCAGCCACTCCATCAGCTGGAAGTCCAGGCAATATCTCGCCGAGCCTCAGGCAAGGCGTGCAAAACCTCCTCCCCTGCATAATCTAGGCCCTTGCTCTTTACTATCTCCTCGAAAGAACGGCCCTGTCTCAATTCCAAAGGTGAACGGACAAAGTACTCCACCAAATTGGCAATATGCTTCAGAGCCTCCCGCTGCGGCCTCGTTGCGGGCTTCTCGTTTTGGGGGAGGATGGGGGATTGCCAGCCGGATGCTTCCCCGTTCAAAATACAAACAGTCAACAGGCGCCAAACCTGCATACATCCCGATGAAATAATCTTATGAAGCTTCTGCCTTCAGCGTTTAGCTGCAGGAGTGGGGCGCCACTCTAATAGCCCTTCAGGGGTCCGGCAACATAGTTCAAGCAACTGAAGGGCAGCTCCTATTGGTGGCAGAGGCAAGGGTAGCAAATCCCTCTGTCGAAGAATAGGCGCGGCTGCTTTTTGCGTGTAATCGCAAAGACATGATTCAAGGAGTTGCCCATCCCGCGGGCTGAAAAATAGGAGCTGCAGCGCCGTAATTCCCAATTGCAAAATACTTTGTGAACCAGGAAGTCCGGCTGAAAGCAAAAACCCAACGCTTGGTCTACGCTCTTGAACAACTTCCCCTGTCAGCAGCTGTAGCAGCTTGAGCGCAGGCTGTTGCTGCCCCGCCTCCTGTACAGCGGCGGTTGATTTGCTCAGGCTCGTCAAAAACCGCTGGGCCAACACCCAGGACCGCCTCCCCCAAGCCACCGCTTGGGCATGCTTGGCAGTTGGCTTGCTCAGGCTCGTTAAAAACCGCCGGGCCGACACCCGGAACCGACCCCTGGCCGACACCAGGAGCTGGAGATAGCACCGAGATCAGTTCTG